AGATTGGGAGTTCTTGGTATGTATCAGAACAGGAAACTGATTTTTGAATTACACCAGTATATTTTGTCATTCTAGTGTTTTGGAATTTCTAATTTAAGACTATTTACTCTGTACAAATTATTAATTCGATGTTGGGATAATATGCAAGAGAAACATTTTACCAAGGTAGTGTTGAGTGTAAGACTGCAAAGGAGTCGAGTTGAGTTTTGAACTTATTGAGTCGAGTTGGACTTGTTAATGTGCGAGTTCGAGTTCAAGCTCAAGCTCGAGCTAAAAAAATGAAACTCGAACTTGACTCGGGTTAGGAAAAGGTAAGTTCGAGCTCAACTCGTTTCTGACTTCCGAGCAGTTTGAGTTTCACTCGATATTTTGGTTCGCGAGGAGCTTGAAGTGAGCTCGATTTTAATTGAGCAAATTATCCCAGTGGCCACTAAACTTTTATCATCGTCGAGTTTTGGTCACTCAACTATTAAAAGGCTGGTTTTGACCATCAAACTGTATAAAAGGTAGACTCGAGCCCATTTTGTTAGATTTAGTCGTTAACTTCGCAGAGGTGTCTGTCCGCGCGATTTTCAATATAAAAGGTAGGGTCAATTTAGGAAGTCGAAAATATCACTTGCACCTCTTCTTCCTCTCCCATGCATCTGTTCTTTTTCTTCCTTGCCTAAACCCAAACATCAAACAATTGACAATTAAAGAAAAACGCAACAACGAAGAATTTTGGGGGATTGAGCGACAGCAGAACGGGTTGACAAACAAGATCTTCATTTCGTGGAACGATGGAGTGGCCCAAGTGGGTGATTAGACCAAGGGGCCAGCATTTTGATCCATCTGATGCATACGGTAAAGTTTTAAAATCCCTAAGTTTGTTTAGTTATCCACATCCCAGAATAGATTGTGTGTTTCATGTATGTATGGGCTACATTTTATCGTTGTTTTGGCTTTTTGCAATAAAGCATAGAGATTTCATAGTACACTGATTAAAGTATTCTTAATGCTGGAAAAAGGGGTTAATAAATAATTCATTCATTGAATTTGGGTTTACTAGTTTTGACTAAAATTTTAATTTTTTTAACTAATCGCATGTCATGCAGTGCCAGGTTCTTCTCTGTTCACCATACGAATGTATCATGGGGGTAAATTCAATTGGCAAAATTACAGATACATTGATGGGCATGTAGATTATGTTGATTTATGTGATGCGGAAACAATGTCTGTGCATGAAATAAACTACATGGTGGATAAATTAGGGCATTATGGATGTATGGTGTATTACTATGTTGAGCCTGGGAAAGATTTTCGAAATGGGTTGAAGGAATTATCTACTGATAAAGCCATTATCAGTTTTTGCAATTGGGCTTATAAGCATAAAATCATGGAGGTGTACTGTGACCACCAGTCAAAGAATGAAATCAAGATGATGGCCACAAAGTCCCTTCCTTCTGATCTACAGCTGAGTAAAAAAGCCGCAGTCACCATCGAGGAACTTGACGAAAATGGAAATGTTATTAGGGAACCTGGATTTGAACTAGTGCCATTTACAAGATCAATTGGCAAGATAGATGTTGGGAACTCTTCTAAAGAGAATGCCTTGAATAATGGGGATGCAAATGATAGAGGAAATATAGATGGCCAAGTGGAGACTGATACTGATTCGGATGGAGACTATGATCGCTTTAGTGCTGATAGGGATTTCTGTAGGGATGAAGAAATGTTAGAAGAATTGATTGTTGAGGGGCTAAAATCTGGTGTGGATTCTTCAAATACAGAGCAACCTAGATCTTCACAGCATCCCAATTCTAATGATGATTGTAATAATGCTGCACAACAGCAAGAATCAGTTGTAGATGAGCTAGGCAGACAACAACAAACAGTTGGGATGGATCCATGGTCACAACAATCAGGACTTGAAACTGAATTTGAACATCAGCAGCAGCCTGAGACAAATGAAGAACAACCCACGGATGTGGGAACTGAAAACCAACAGTCGCGGAGGAAGAAGCAAGTTAGAAGGAGAAGAAACAACAATAGAGCATCAGGAGAAGAGGCAGCTCCTCATTTAGATGATGTCCATGCATTAGATAAAGACACAGTGGTGACTGAGTTGCATAGTGATGCTGGCTCCTCAGATGAAGAGAATGATGATGACTGGAGGAATAGGTATGTTGATTTCAATCCGGAGAGAGATCTAAAAGACCCTAATTTTGAGTTTCACATAGGAATAAAGTTTGAGTCAGCTGAACAGCTAAGATTAGCTGTTAGAACATATTTCATCATGAAAGGAAAACCAGTAAAGCCATACACAAATGAAAAAAAAAGGTTTAGAGCAAAATGCAAACCTCCTTGCCAATGGTTTGTTTATGCTTCAGTTGAGAGGGAACTTGGAATAGCTGATTTGGTTGTCAAGAGCATGAATAATGAGCACACAAACTGCAGTCATGTATGGAAGAACAAGAATATTTCTGCTAAGTGGCTTGCAAACAAGTACATGGAGAGATTTAGATGTAATGTTGAAATGCCTCCAAGATTATTAAGACAAATAGTTGATGAGGACTTCAAAGCTGAAATTTCAAAATGGATGGCATACAATGCAAGGGCAATTGCTAAAAAGGAGATTCAAGGGAATGCAGAGCAGCAATATAAGGACATATGGAGATATTGTGCAGAAATTAAGAGGACACACCCAAATACCACAATGGAAGTTATGTTTACTCCCTTCAGACAACCTGGATGCAACCCAAAATTCATGAGACTTTATTGCTGTTTGGGATCATTAAAACAAGGCTTTCTTGACGGTTGTAGGCCCATTATTGGGGTTGATGGATGCCACATAAAGGCTGAATATCGGGGACAGCTGTTGACTGCTATTGGAGTAGATCCCAACAATGGATGGTGGCCCATTGCTTGGGCAGTGGTTGAGAGGGAAGCAACTGAACAGTGGAAATGGTTTTTTGAGCTGCTGAAGAATGACTTGCAGATTGAAAATGGGTACAGCTACACCTTTGTTTCTGACCAGCAGAAGGTATTAACTCCTTCCCTTTGTATATGCACAGTACACAAATCTGTTTCAATTTACTAATGCCTTTTGTTTGTAATAATTTATAGGGTCTTGACCGAGCATTATCTGAGGTACTACCAAACAGTGAGCACAGATACTGTGTGCAGCACCTGTATAACAACTTCAAGAAGAAACATCGTGGACTTGCCCTGAAGACAAAACTGTGGAACATTGCAGCAAGTACTACTGAGGGACTATTCAAGAAAGCATCAGCAGATCTGAAAAATTTTGACAAGGAAGCATATGAATGGGTGAAGAAAGCACCACATCCCAGTCATTGGTGTAAGACTTTTTTTTCAGAACATACTCGATGCGATATGTTGGTTAATAATTTGTGTGAAAGTTTTAATGGTCATATACTTGAAGCTAGGCAGCAGCCAATTATCACAATGTTAGAGTCCATTAGGATATTTCCGATGGAGAGGATACAGAGAAGGACAACTGCAATGGAGAAGTTTGAATTGTCCATTGGCCCACTAATTAAAAAAATAATTGATGATAGGGTGATAGAATCAAGACAATGGAGGACCATTTGGAATGCTGTGGATGGATACCAGGTTAGGGGACCAAGGGGGGCCCAGTTTGCTGTTTATTTAAAGAAAAAATCCTGCACATGCAAACTGTGGGATCTAATTCCTTGCTGTCATGCTATTGCAGCAATTCACAGAAATAATGCCGACCCCTATAAAGAGGTGTATGACTGCTACAACAGAGATCTGTTTCTAAAAATTTACAAAAGTGTTTTGTATCCTATCAATGGACAAGTAATGTGGCCTGAAGCTGATGGGGTGGATCTTGATCTACCAGAAAGGATAGTGCAACCTGGCAGACCTAAGAAGGCCAGGAGAAGAGATCCTACTGAAACTCAAAAGACTGGAAACAGGTTACGGAGAAGAATAGTCATCCATTGCAGAAAATGTGGTGTTGCCGGCCATAATGCAGCTGGTTGCAAGGTGCAGCAACAAGACAATCAACAACAGCAGAATCAGGATAGCGAGGAGCAGCAGCAGAACCAACAGCAGCAACGTGGTTCTAAGAACATGCAGTAGCAACAACAGAACCAACACCAGCACCAGAGTCAGCATGAATAGACCCAACACCAGCACCAAAGTCAGCATGAACAGACCCAACACCAGCACCAGAGGCAACATCAGACCTAACACCAGCACCAGAGGCAGCAGCAGACCCAACAGCAGCACCAGCACCAGCAACACCAGCACCAGGATCAATATCAGCAGCAGCAAAATCAGCAACACCAGCAACAGAATCAACATCAGCAGCAGCAACAGCAGCAGGATCAGCAACAACAGCAGAATCAACAGCAGCAGCAGGATCAAGAGTATCAGCAGAACCAACAAGAACAGCAATCACAATCTGCTGTTGAGGAAAGTGAACATGCACAGCATCGACAGCAGGAAGAAGTTGTACAAAACCAACAACAGTCTCAGAGCCAAGGGGCTCATCAACAAAGGAAAGCAGGAAAACGAAAGTTAACAGATTCAGAAAAGAGGCAGATCAATGCCAATTATGCATATTTAGGTAAAGAACCTCCTTTCACTGTTGGAAATTGGAGAGGAAAATGGAGTAGAGCTGGTACTAGAAGAGGAGGAACTTCAGCAACAACTACCAGAGGACAACCAAGAGTCAAAAGAGGATCAAATTGAAGAGGAAGTAAAGCTATAGCTAGATTGGGACATAATGCAACTACATTTTGTCTTTTTGTATGAAGTTTGTTTTGGATTTGATATGCTGACCTATTACGAACATGGTCCATATGTACAAACAATTTATTTTGTCCAATCTACACAGATTGTTCTATGTTAATGCAGCACTTTTGTTTAGTTCTTATGTCTCTGTCATTTATTGATGAAATTAGTAGAACTGAAATGTGTTGTTTCAAACCTTTTTTGACACCAAATAATAACTATTTATTCATGTGAACAATACAACTTTTATACATCAAAATGTTTATACAGAGGGGTACAAAAGGGGCTTTATAAAGCCATTTGCCCTTTCCCTTTCAATATGCTACCATTACAACATAGTAGCTATTCTTCAAGGATTTTCAACGATGCCACAAATTTGTAGCATGCCACCAGAATTATCTATTCTCATAACTAACATTGCTAAGACAACTATTAGCCAAGGCAACACTGCGCATCGAATGAGTCGCTTATTGGCTGATTTGTACTTGGCAATTTCAGTTTGAAGTGGCTTCATTTTACCCTCCAATTTCACAGCTTTTGCTTCCCACTTTCTTGCAGCTTTTTCAAATTCAACCATTTTTTCCTCCATTCCATTGATCTTTCTGAGTAGACCCGGTATAATCATTGTAGATCGAGCGCACATTTCATCATCTATCCAACCCCAATAGCCACAGCCATCCTTAAAAAAAAAACAAATTCATTATATTTCTTACACAATAATAAATTAAGTATCTAAAAAAATGTTACAAACCTCCCCCAATGCGCATTTGGCAAATCTTCTTCCCGGATTTTGTGCAGTCCATGAAGTTATCATTACTGTCTTCATCCCACAAACACAAGTAGGCAAAATGGGTGTCAACGATGTAGGTGGCATGGATCTTGCTGGCCCGACTCTTGGTGGCGTTGATCTTGGTCCTGCTTCCTCTAATCCAAGTTGGGCTTCTTCCATTTCCTTCTCTTGTAGTTTCTCTCGGATAAGTAATCTTTATTAGTTTTATACAAGAAGAACAAGAAGATCTATTTTCGACTTCCTAAATTGACCCTACCTTTTGTATTGGAAATCGCGCAAACGGACACCTCTGCAAAGTTAACGACTAAATCTAACAGAATGGGCTGGAGTCTACCTTTTATACAGTTTGATGGTCAAAATCAGCCTTTTAATAGTTGAGTGACCAAAACTCGACGATGACAAAAGTTTAGTGGCCACTGGGATAATTTGCCCATTTTAATTGATATAGAGGTATTTTTATAGTTTCACTTCAATTCAAGCTTTTCAAGCGATTCGTTGAGTAATCGAACCTAACAAATGGTTGCTTGAGCTCGATTCGTATATATTAATGCTCGGCTCGAACTTAGTGTTGATCGAGCTCAAATCGAGCTACTCGTGAGCCGGTCAATTTCAGCCGTGGTTGTTTGGAAGGGAAACTTCTTTGTCTTGTCCTCCAAAAGCCAGAAGGGAGATAACGTCCCGGAAATGGAGCCACAGCAGGGATAAGACTATAGTGCAAGAGTTGAAGCGCGAAAATAAGAGCGGCGTCCTCATGTCATCATCCATATTTGAAATCGTAGCCTTTGCATTTACTCTGGATCTAAATTAATACTTATTAGTCCTATCGAATCCTTCGAGTGGGGCCTTTGCATTTACTCTGGGTCTAAATTAATACTTAGTCCTATTGAATCCTTCGAGTGAATGTCCCCAAAAAAAAAAAACTTTTTGAGTGAATAAAACTCAAAATAAAGGAGCTGCTAAACTAGTATTTTGGGCCACTACGCCGACTTCTATTTGAAGGTTTAACCACAGGAATGTAATGCATAGCGGTCGAACAAAGCCGCATGATTCTAATTGTAAGAATTTTTCAGGCTTTAATATTGTGATACTATCTAACATTCAATTCAACTTGTTGAAAAGAATACTACTGTATATAGAATGCAACATTTCAGATACATGTAAATTAGTACTACACAACCTTTTTTTTTTTTTTTTTTTGCAAAAATTAGTACCACACAACTCAATGATCATATTGAAAGAAAATTGCCTTGCAGGAGAGATCCAGAAAAAGCAGAGGTTAGGGAGAGGGGACACGCGAGGACCACGGCTCTATATTTAACATCTTTTGGGGTACAGAATGAAGTAAGCTATCCTGGGAAACTGGACACTCTTTTAAAATTCATTGCTCCATCAAATCCCAAAAATGATACGGTACAGTAATAATGATTCAAAGCGTGTTGTGTTCAATTCATATAGCCTTTGCGGATACTCATGTTGTATGTTACTGTAGTGAAATTCATAACCAGAAGCAGAAGAAGCCAGCAGGCCACAGGCGGGATCCAGAGAGAGCAGGGGGTTAGGCAGCTGGATGATGAACAGGTATGTATATCTCTTGTCAATCAACAAGCAGATAAGACATGTCAAATTGTCCAGTTGCTCCCCTTGTACCAAATCCCTGGATTTCGTTCCCTTTTATTAGTCAAGTGCCCATCTGAACTAATGCACTACTGTCCAGTGGAAGGCCAAATAATTGCAGAAACAAAAAGAGAGAATAAAAAAAATGGGAAGAAGAAGCAAATTTCATACTCTCATTTGTCATTTCCTTCTTGGATTGGGTGATGATTGGATCACATTTTAGACAAGATCAAAACTTTAGAGCTTCTTCTTGCAGAAAATAAGGACAGAAATTAACTATGTACTACTAAAAATGCAATTGAAGATAAAAAGCATCGCATTTGCATTCGTTACGCTGAAACTCTGTGACAAAGTCTAAGAAGCCCTAATACTAAATTACTAATCCTAAAAGCAAAGGTTGTCAACAGTGCTCAATTTTTGGTTACTTGGGGGTGGGGGTTGGGGGGCGGGGGTTGCTGGGGTGTTGGGGCTGGGAGGTGTGAAATATCGTTCAGTTCAATTGATAACCAGCTGAACTTCAGTCTTGAATAGAAGAAAAGACAGCGAATCCAAAGAGAAATACACAAACCCGCCTGGTGAATGTGTGACAAACGACCCGAAACTCTTCCCCACTACACAGTGCCATGCCGGCCCATACAACCCATCAAACTCCTGTGCGATTTTAATAAATCAAATCAACAACCGACAACTATTCATTAAGGAGTTAGAAAATTCATTTATAATTGATGGGTAGTTGTTAGTAATATTCAGTACCTTTTTGAGAGAACGAGCGAGGAGGGCGGGGCTAAGTCGATGAGTTTGAGGAGGAGTGGCACCGGAGGTACCGGCAGTGACGAGTGATCGGGTGTAGCGGAGTGCATGCTCTTGCATGGACACGGGCATGTCTGAGGTTCTTAATCGCACGTTTAGGCTGATTGCTATGGCTGCTAGCTTCAGTTCTTGTTCTGATAGAGAGTTGTTCTTCTTCTCCTTGCTGTTGTTGTTGCTTTGATCAGAAACAACAGGAAGCTGCTGCTGCTGCAATATTTGTAATGGTTTCTGAGGTCTTGACTTAGAGGAAGCTGCTGCTGCTGATGATAATTGCATGACTTTGGGTTGGGACTGCTGATGGGATTGAGGGGGCTTATTTTTGGACTTGCTTTGAGTTGTTTCTTTCATGATTGTTAGAGGCGTATGAAAAGAATTGTTAGAGGTGGATAAAGACACGAGAACTAGAGAAGAAGAGTTGAACTTTTTGACCGGGGAAATATGTGGAGTCGTTGGGGTTGGAGGATTGGAAATTGGAATATAAAGAAAGATTTGAACTTTGACTGACAATACATGGTGATAGAGACAGCAGCAGGCCAAAGAAAAAAAAACAGATGATAATCCAAATAGAGAAAAATGCAAGACATGCAAGAATTAATAATTAGACTTGGTTTGTGTTTATTGCAAGTTTCATTTTTTTTTTTTTCAATTTCCTACGAGGCTTTCGGTGTCTATTTGGATTTTGAGGATTAGAGTGAAGAGAAGGAAAAATACGAGTACACTGGACACTGCTTGGGGGATGGTACACAAGAAAAGTGTGGGATCATCAAACCACATAAATGGTGTGGGGCGCAGGAGTTGCTGCAGCTGCTGACCAGTCTAATTTTGTAGTACCAGCCAGTTAGGTTGGTGCTTTCCCTTTCCCATTACTGAGGATTTCTCATGACTTACCAGCAAGAGTGACAGTTAAATCAATCAACCCTCTTATGGTTGTTTTCAAATTTCCACTGAGTTAGAGTAGATGATGAGTTTAACTTCCCCCTCAGAGTTCTCAATAATGCACTCCAATTAAGTAAGCTTATGCATATGATTTTGTGTACTAGCTTCCTCTTTTCTTTTTCAAAGGACTGCGGTGAAAACCGTTTGAATTAGCTATTTTTTTGGATATTTTTAAAAAATTTTACTGTAATTAAAATATTTGATATATTGTATGAGTGAAATATTTTTTGAATTATTATGTATCACTGTAACATTTTATTTAAAAAACTTAATTAGGAAAAAATATCCAATCCAAACGGAGGGAGTTTTGGTCTGTTGGCATCGTCCATTTTTAGTGACAAGATATTAGTCCAACGTCAAAGGAATCAGAGCACAGTGATGTGTTCTGCTTCTTCATGCTAAGGTCCTTGTTTCAATGATTGCTTTTTCATTAAATTTTTTTTTTGAAATGCTCTTTGGACACATTTTTAATTTTTTTTTCCTCACGTGCATCATCACATAGTTACAATAAATTTATCTATAAAAATTCCACCAAACTATTGCCTTGACATATTTTGAGATGTTATATATGTAAAATGCCCCCACGTGAATGGGCTGGTGGTTGGCGCCTCTTCCTCGGGACCGTCAGGTCCTGGGATCGAACCTCCGCAGCAACATTGGCTTCTCCGTGCAATTAACGTGCTAGGTCTGATTGGGACGCTGGGCCGGGCCGGAGTGGGATTAGTCGGGCCGCCTTTACGGACTTGACCCGGACACCCACTCCGTCGACAAAAAAAAAAAATATATATATATATATATATATGTAAAATAATTTTTTTAAAAAAAATTGTAACCATCTAAAAAAAATGTTCAATGGATTTTTCAAGAATGTAAAAACAAAACCAGGAGAAAAAACAAAATAAGTCCAAACAACGAACGAGTGACACGTGGCCCAATATTCCCCACACTCCTCATCCATCTAATCTCATATCCCCAACACTCCAACAGACTCAACTCCGCCACACACATTCACACACACACCACTCTTTCCTCCTCCACTCCATTTTTCCTTTGTAAATATCCGAATCAAAAATAAAACCAAAAAGAATCGAAAAATCAAAGAATCGGAACCAGAAACTTATCAACAAAACCTCTGTTCTCCCGGGATGGCTGGCGTTCTCGAAACCCTAACCGTACCACGCTCCGCGTCTCTGCCCTCAGCTTCCTTGGCTCCCATCGCCGGCTCTCCATTCTCTACCATCCGCGTCAGATTTTCCGAGTTTAGAGGACTTAAGATCCAGTCGACTAGGCCGTCGTCCTCCGCCTCGCTCAGTTCAAATGCCAGACTCGCCCGCCGTGGAAGTCGAATTGTTTGCGAGGCTCAGGATACCGCTCTAGTAGGTTAGATTATTTCGAACTCTTTGCTTTTGCTTTTTAGAAACGGTTCTTTGTTTTTTAGCTTCTGTGTATACTCGTGATATCTGAAATCGAAGTTTATATTGAATTCGATTGTTTGTAGCTTCTTTGTTTAGGTTGATTTTAAAATATGTGCTGGAATTTGCGTGAATCTGCTTGGCGAATTTTATGCAAGAGTTGAGGTGGAAATTTCTGTTCGACTGTCGAACTTAAATTTGATTGAAGTGCGAAATTCGCTTGTAGCTTAATCCAAAGTCACTGGTAATATTCGCTTTTGAAAATGTGACTGGAGAATTGTGTATCTACTGTCGTGCAACTCAAAAGTTAATCATAGCGAGAATCTTTTCCCTCAGCATCATTCAGAGCAAGCTAGAATTCTAGTCAGGAAAAGCAACTTGCAATTGAGAATTATAGTAGCAGATAATTTGACTCGTTACACGCATATGGTCCGAGTCTTTCTCTAATCTTAGTTAGGACGGTTACTAATAAATTGTATTTGTATTCAGTCTATCTGGTTCCTGTCGTGAGGAGTTATTCCTCCTTTTGAGAACTAATTTTATGGAATTATTAGTTTTAAGGGACTGTGTACATTTCTGACCGTCTTATATAAGATCTCTAGGACGTTATTGGTTAAGTTAGGGCTTATACAACTATAAGCTAACTTCAATTTGATGTTTTCTTTTCCTGTTCTTTTGTTTGCTTTACGTTTTCATTTGTATGTTGTTTCCACAAACTTAGCTTACATAGTATAGTCCTTTCCCTGAATAGTTGGATTTTAAGGAGTTATTGTGCTCAAAGTGCAAACTTCATCTTAGAACTTTGCTGGAAACATGTTATATAGAAATGCATTCTTATGGTGGAAGAATAGTTTCTTTAAGAATATCAGGCTCTGAAATCATTATTGAATTTGCAGACCCTGGGCGACAATCTTTGTGAATGACATAAACAGCCAATTTTGTTTTTCTTGTGAGCTTCTTGTTTTGTATGTCTATTTATGCTGTCTGAGAATGCGTAAATACTGAAGAGTAGTGCAGGAACCAAATATGCTCTCATTAGACATGTAGAAAAGATTTATCTGACAATGGTAGGGCTTCCTATTCTAGAGAAGAACTTTTTGGTAGTTTTTTCTTACCGGTCTTTGTAAGCATATCCCTTATGTGCATGTGTTGTCTTCTTCTGTATCCACACTTATGGTGTATGTTGAATCTGTATTCTTCTTCATAATTGATGAATCAAAATGGCAAACTAGTATAGCTTAGAGCGCTGATAAAAGTAAGATTCTCGTCTTTTGAATAGTGATTTCTTGCAATTCCAATTGTGGCTACAGAGAGAAGTATATGGAAACAAAAATGATGGCTGGTGATCTGCTCGTATTCTCTATGTTGGCTTTTGAAAATGGATCTGTTGTTGGTTATTATCTTATCCTGTTTTGCAATATATTTTTCCAAAGTCCAAGAGTTTATGTGATATTGGCTTAATGCTCATATAAGTTTTAAAACAGATACATTATAATTTGATGCTTTCTCCTTCTTTATCCAACCACCAAATGAGATGTTACTTTGAGAGGCAGGCGCTGGTGCTCTTTTAAGTTTCCGTTTGCACGACCATGGATTTAGAATCTGGTTGCAGAATTTCCGATACAGATAACCCTGTTCCAAATTCATGATCTGCTACTCAATTTCTAGGATTTTTGTGGGAAACTGGTAAATAGAAATTTAAAATTGTTCTTTGGTTCTTGAATAAATTGCAGTCCCACCTGTCAAGGATGATACGTGGCAGTCGCTGGTACTAGATTGTGATTCACCTGTTCTGGTTGAGTTTTGGGCTCCATGGTGTGGGCCATGCCGCATTATTCACCCCGTAATTGACGAGCTGGCTAAGGAGTATGCTGGTAAACTTAAATGCTACAAGGTTAATACAGATGATTCCCCTGGAATTGCAACTAAATATGGGATCCGAAGCATCCCAACTGTAATGATTTTCAAGAATGGAGAAAAGAAAGACACTGTCATTGGTGCAGTTCCAAAACAAGTATTGACTACTAGCATAGAAAAATTCTTGTAAAGTGGCGGGTATCCAGTCCATGATGTTTCACGAACAGATTCAATAATCCTAAGATGGTTCTGTATAGATGGATGCTACTGCATTCCCTATTTGTATTGAGATAATCTTGGTTACTAAAGTTTTTACAGTTTGACGTTGTCTTTTAGAATTAATTCTGTATGCCTTTTTTTTTTTTTGAAGAGGACATCTCTCTCTGTGAAATTGGTTTTCCTCACTTTAAAGCTGCTTCTGCTATTATCTCCAAAATACCTGCTGCATATGGACAAATGCAGGGATATGGGACTGTTGTGGGTAGCATTATAGAGGCATGCTTGCTAAACTACAGAAATCTTTGAAGACTGGAGCAAGCCTTGCTACTCATGTTCAGTGAAATCCTGGTCCCTGTTTCCTTTTCACTTTTTTGTTGTCGAATCTTACATTTACAAATTGGAGCAAACTTGACGATACTTCGAAGTTCGAATGAATTTAGTACTTCAAAGTGAGGTGACCTTTTAGTAAAGTTTTAGGCTGGCCTCTCCCTCTGGGCTTTGTGACCATGGATGTGGGCTGGGTCTAGCTTTGTCATATGTAAAGGAAAAACTACAGGAGCAGTTTTCGCCGCTACATTTGTTTATTTCACTAACGTGACACTGAGGCCCGAGAGAGTCCAGTAACTATTTCGGAACAACTTTTCAGTTTTCATCCCTTTGAAAAATTATGATCAATAGTTCAATTATCAGGATAGTCCTTTTTTTTGTGGATGTGGAAGAGACCTACTTATTGTACCCAACATTGCTTATTTATGGAAATATAATTATGAAGGATTAGCATAGGACAATTTTTATTCAAATACCAATATTACCCTCAATTATTCAACGTCATGTATTCCTATTGATTTTGTTGGGTCCATCGTTGACTAGATACCATTTTCTTCCTCGTTTTCAATAACATAGCATCAAGTTTTTTTTTTTTTTTTGGCTCTCTCTCACTTTCCCTTTCATTCCTGCCTTTTCATATCTTTTCATCTTTTCTATTTTACAATTTCTTTTGATTTTTTTGAAAACCTTTGCAGATGTGGTTTAAGACCTTTTGCATAAAATTTTCTTCGCTTCACTCTTATTATTTCTCTATTGCTATTGGTAATTTTTTTCCTGCTTTTTTTCTTTTCTTTTTGCTTTTATTCCATTATATTTTCTATCAAATAATCTATGATTACAGTTTTTGGAGTGATCATAAATTATGATTAAATTTGGGATGCAATTTTGCTGCAATTATAGTAAATTTCAAGTTCTCAATTTTTTGAGTAATATTTGTTATAGCAATATTGTTGGATTTTTCGTTTTCTTTTCTTTTTTCTATTTTTTAAGTTGATAGTTCTTGACTTCATCACCTATCCTTATTTTCTAATATCTAGATCAAAGTAATTTTAATCTACATTTTTTGAAGGGAAAAGTGTGTGTCTACGTCGTGACTTCAACACGTGAATATTGAAGGAAATGTGTACCTACACTTTTTGGATTATTTTCATTTAGACTGTTTGAGTTAAATCCATAGAAAATTATTAGGTCCGTTTGGATTAGCTGTTT